TTCATTTTAAGGTACTCTGGCAGATTTTATCTCATCTGAATCTCAAAACAATTCTGTGAAACAGGTATAGCATATATTTATATTTTTGTCATATGAGGAAAGAGGCAAGACAAGTTTTTCTGTTCTTAATATCACATACCTTTTAGGTTTCAGAGACAGTATGAGACCCTTGTTCTTATCCCTAGAATAACATTCATTTTATCAGCTAATGTATGCACCAATTTATTAGGTTCAAATATAATTAAGGGTATATATTAAATAAAAATTTAAAATATATTTAATTTTTTAGGATTTTTAAATTTGTATTAGAAAGTTTTAGTGAGAACTTATTGACTCTTATTTGTCAAAATTATTATAATATCCCTGACTTTAATAATTTCAAACATATGATAACATAAGCACACAATCATGTAATAGTGAATAGACTAGGAAATAGGGATGTTATCAGATTTAATAAGAAAGGAATACTAAGTTGGAAAAGAAATTAAGATTTGGTTCTCATTCCAAATAGGTTCAGAAACCAGAGTCTAACTCCAAAGAATTTTCTTCTCTGTGAAGATAAAAATATTTGAGATAATAGGTCTAGAGGGAGAGTATTTCAGAGCAAAAAGGAAAATTATGGCTATGGGTTGGCTTAGATATAGACTGTTAGCAATAAATCAAGGTGTATTACTCTGGCTAAGTACTGGTAATGCTTGATCACAGAACTTTGGTAGGTTTCAGGTTTGTAATTTTATGTGAATTACAATCAAGCATTTCTGTAGTTAAATGGTAGTTAATCATGTGGTGTGAATAGTTTTATCCACTGATAATATACTTTGTTTTCTATTGGGAGAACTAGATTATTAGAAACTATTACAAAAAAATGTATTTTGCTGTTAGAGAAGCAAACCCTGTTCAGTTTCTTTAGTGAATACCATGAATTAGACTTAAAGGCATAAATGATGACACATACTCTGCTGAAGTGCTACTGAATATAAGAAAAACACTATCCTTATTGTAAAGTTTCCTTAAAAACCACAGTTTTACCTAAAGGTGATATTTATTTGTGAATCTTTTCTTGACAGAAGTCTTTACGTATAATCATTTAACACTTCAAACAACCCTGTTGATTAGCTTGGGCTGCATTTTTATCCTCCTTTTCATTTGTCCATTTCTGTTTTTCAAATGAAGAATTGAGCTAGTCCAGATTAGCTAAATGGCTTGCCTGAAGTTGTCATTAGTTTAATTAGGAGTAACTTAAGATTCCGTGAACTATTCACCATTCTCACGTAGACTGAGTCACTGGTGGTAAATAATTTAACCTAGGAATTATGTAGTGACTTGAGATTTTTAATAAAGGAAGGAAAAGAAAGGAAATGTTTCTTTGATATGGAATCTAGGTTAGGGTTAACATTTGTTTGCAGAACAAATACAAATTGTGATGAGACACTCAGGTTCTACTGAATTAGCAATACACTGAGGTAAGTCATAACTAGCAATGTTTTGATGAAAATGTATTTAATTGTTTGCTTAGGGTTTTATTTCTGTTCTCATTATTAGTGGCTCCAAATGAAGAAAGTAGGAATTATTGTAGTTAAATTCATGTTCCTAGGCATTCTGTTATAACCTAGAATCTCTAGTTTATTTGATTTTTCTATTTTTACTTAGGAAGATGATATGATTTGGCTCTGTGTGCCCACACAAAACTCATCTTATAGCTCCCATAGTTTCCATGTGTTGTGGGAGGGACCCGGTGAAAGATGATTGAATCATGGGGTTGGGTTTTTCCATGTGGTTTTCATGATAGTGAACAGGTCTCATGGTATCTGATGGTTTTAAAAGTAGGAGTTTCTCTGCACAACCTCTCTCTTTGCCTGCTGCCATCCATTTAAGACATGACTGGCTCCTCCTTGCCATCTGCCACAACTGTGAGGCCTTCTCAGCTACGTGGAACTGTGAGTTCTCCACTAAACCTCTTTCCTTTGTAAATTACCTAGTCTTGGGTATGTTTTTTTTCAGCAACATGAAAACAGACTAACACAGAAGGTCATTTTTGATATTTTTTGTCTTTATGCATAACTTGTACTTTTTTGGAAGTAACTTAAAATACAAATAATGTTTACCTGTGAGCTATGAACAGTTACACCTATTGACTTAATGTGTTGTTTTCCAGAAGGTTCCATTCCCTTTGAAGTGACTTGTCCAAGGTCACAAAAGCAACGTAGTGGAAGTCTGGAATAGAATTTAGGTCTCCCTGGTCAGTGTGTTTTTCACTATATCATCCTGTTGCATTTTTTGCCATAGTAAAAGGTCTTATGTACATTTTTTAAAAATCACATGTGTAATGATCGTATAGCTTGAAATAGTCCAAAGTGTTAAAACTAGTTTTAGTTATAGATTTGAATACTAAATACCAAACCAATGTGTGTTAAATAGTAAAATGGTGACTCTTTTTCAACAAATTAAAGACATAAAAATACTAACTCATTAGCTAATTTTCTGAATGAAACTTAAATTTTATAAGGCAATGTTACATATGTTATAATGTTTACCATCTTTAATGTTAGATACATCTTCTACATGAGGTTTCATGCTACAATTTAAACTTTAAATTTTACTGAAATTTCACTATAATACTCTATGGCAACAACTCTCTTGAATCCAAGAAGTTTGTTTTGCAGAAATACTATAAGAACAGTTTTATAGTCATCTTAACTTTAATAGCAGGTCCCTGTGACTTAAGACCCCAGAATATATGAGTTTAAAGTTTTAATGTTCCATAAACACTACTAATCATCCAATTTATGAAACTTATGTTTTGCTTATTTACAGAAAAATAAATATTGGCCCATTTTAAACATTTTAAAGGTATTTGATCTATTGCTAAAAATGTCTAACACATTAGACTTGTAATAGATTAATGGAATGGAGTTGTAGACTATTCCTCAGCAAACACACATTTAAAGGCCATGCTTTTCTCAAAATGAAAATTAACAAGTTTTGGTTAAGTGCAAGGAAGTAGTATAAAAGCCAGAAACCTCAGTTATATTTTAGTCTTGTTATATTTGTTAGAATAGAAATTTATTTTGTGTAGCTTTTTTTTTTCCAAAATGTAAAAGATTTTCCTTGTGAACAGATAGCATTTTATCTAACATCTTTATTGGTCTATTAATTTTTTAATTTTCTTTTCTACCAGAGCCATGTATTCCTACTGCATAGTATACATTTTTAGAGTGAATTATTTTAAGAAATGATTTGAATGAATTTAATTTTCAGAGAAAAAATTTAGGTGTAGTTTTTTTTAATTGCACAACTATTTTGAAACTACTATATAGATAAATTATGAAATTTTAGTAATGTAGTGAAAAACTTCAATGAAAAAGAATTCCTTGATTCAGAAGCTACTGAAGACAAACAAGTAAAGTTGGAAACTGTTAAAGGACTAAAAGGGCAGAAAAACTGTCAATATCATTTTCTTATCTTGTCTAGAAATAGTTGACTTGATAAACTGATTCTTAAAAGTTACAAGTTCACAATAACTGAAAAATTCAAGTTCATTTTGAACCAAAGATTATGGTTAAAATACCAATGCCAAATTTACCAAAACAATTACTTTTTGCATATTGGATAATATATATATATATATATATATATATATATATATATATATTACAAAGTAATCCTTAGTTATCTATATCTTAGATGTCTACATCTGTGCCCCTGTGAAGTAGGAAGTAGTCTAATTATCTCCATGTTATAAATACAGAAACTGAGACTTGCCTAAACGTACAAAGACAGTAAATGGCCATGTCGGGGATCACACACACATCTTTTTCACTTCACAGTCCAGGTTTTTAACCAGAATACAAAAAATAAATTTATTTTTATGTTTTGAAATATCATTTAACTATATTAATAATGACTATGCACATAGACTTTTCAATTCTCTTTAGATGAATGTTTTATATTATATCCATTTCTCAGCTTTATTAACTGTGTTAGGAGTGTAGAGAATCATTCCTTGAGGAAACATAAAAGTACATTAGTTAAACTGAATATTAAGGTTTTTCTTCTTTATTCTGGACAGCTTAATTGTAGGAGAAATATTCTATCTATAAAATTGTCTGTCATTAACAATTCAGTTACAGCCTAGTGAATGTGAACACACACACTTTAAGTGTCTAATTTGAAACCAGATTTTCTCCTTTGATAATTCTATTTTTGTTGTAGATTTATATAATGAGTTTAAGCAAATTAAAATTATAGATGACTTGTAATCTTTCTTATCAAAGATGATTGCATTTTTATTTCACTTGTGTTAGATATTTGACAGATTTGATCTAGAGGCATCTAGGTACAGTTTTGATTTTTAATGGATTTGCTTGGACAATCTCAAGTTAAAATAAGAGCTTTCAGTTCTAGCCTCTGTTCAGAAATCCTGATTCATAATACTGAGATAAATACTGGAGGGATAAAATGTCTCTCAGCATTAAATAACTAAATAACATTTGTTTGAGCCATAAAGGAAGAATTGAGCTTATTTACAATCCATCTGCATAGCACATTTAGTTGAATCAATCAATTATTTTAACTGATTTTCTTCCAAATTAACTGCTGATTTTATTTTTATGTGGACGTTAGCCTTATTGTCCAAATAACTCACTCTATGTTTCTACTTAAGACAACTAAAATCCAGCAGTTCCTTATTCTTTAATCATATCCTTAGGGCTTATCAGCCAGAATGGAATATTGTGAGTCAAAGATATTTATCAAAAGTCAGTCGAAGGTTAAAATATTTTCTCTTGGATATATTTTCTTAATAACTATTATCATGCCATAATGATGCAAATGCAGTGCAAACAAAAACATAAATGAACACAGATCCATTTGCTTGATAAGTACAAAGAAAAAGCATGGTAGAATTTTGTCCAAGTGGACTTTCATTCTAGTTGCTAGGCTTTATGTTTTTTTCTTATCTTGATATTTTTAAAACTTGAAAAAAAAAAACCAGAATCAGTATCGCTTCTTGGCCTTTTGTCTAAGATCTAGTGAAGTATCTGTTCTTATCAGTTGAATATCTGATAAATCCTCTATCCAAGGACAATATATTAAATGGAATTTGGAGCAGAGGGATTGAATAGGAGCTTGCTCCATCCACCCCTTGCATTGACCTGGTATTGCAGTACCTCCAGGAATGGTGCACTCCGCCCAGGGTTAAAACACAGTGTTAAAGGTCGGACGCGGTGGCTCACACCTGTAATCCCAGCACTTTGGGAGGCTGAGGCAGGTGGATTACCCGAGGTCAAGAGCTCGAGACCAGCCAGGCCAACATGGTGAAATCCCATCTCTACTAAAAATACAAAAATTAGCCAGGAGTGGTGGTGGGCCCTGTAATCCCAGCTACTCAGGGTGCTGAGGCAGGAGAATAGCTTGAATCTGGGAGGCAGAGGTTGCAGTGAGGCAAGGTTTCGCCACTGCACTCCAGCCTGGGCAACAGAATAAGACCCCCTCTTAAAAAAAAGAAAAAAAAAAGAATCAGTAGAATCACTTTTCTAAAATATAAGTGCACAGACACTTTTACAAACATATGATACATAGTGAGCTTCAAATTAGATCTAGACAAATAGAAATTTCTTTTTAGTAATGCTTAGAAATTATGTTTCTCTTGCTCACATTCAGTGTCACTTTGTTACTTGAAAGTTCTACTTTTCACAGAAAACAACCTATTTTTGTAGGACTTAGGTTGTCTTCCTGCTGTTAGGATATATTACCACCAGATAGCAGTGAGGTTGTAAGAACTCATTTCTTGTAGGAATGTATTTTACTTAGACATGGATTATTTCTTCCTTTAACAAATATATACATAATTTCTGATATTATATAATAAATCATGAAATGCTTATATTTAAAACATAGTTTTAAAAATAAAGACTTAGGTCACATTTATTCTGTTTTCCTTACCATATATTATCGATTAATACTTAATGAAAACCTACCCTTTTCCAGAGATTTTGGATAGCTTATTTTTTACCTACTCCATGTTTTCTATTTTCCTGAATAATCATTTGAAAAAAATCCTACATGCATATTTGAAATTAAAATTTTAGGATATTCCACAAAGACAAACAGAGATTTGAACCAAATCTATGACCTCCTAAACAACAATCTTCATTTTATCTGACATTAAAAAAGTATATCTACAGCTAAAATTTCTATTATCCTTTAATTAGTCACAAACATATACAGTTCTGTTAAGTAAAAGAGTGCCTCTCTATTGAGGAATTGTGCTATGCTCACAAGAGTGAGTGTGAGATGATTACTAGCTGAAGAGTAAAACATGTAATTTTTTTTTTGGTATAATGTGATACATGATATAAATGACCTTGATAAGGTTGTTTAAAGATTCACCAGATAAAGTAGGTTTCTGCCCTTTCACTTAATTTACTATGTATTTCTGCAAAATAGTTTCCTGGTTGTGAAATAAAAGCAATAACTCTTTAAAAACTTTTCTGACTGTGCAAATGAGTGATAAAACTTGAATAAAAATGTATTATTCAGAAAAGAACTGAAAGGTGTGAGGCTTTAGATGTTAAACATTTATATTCATAAATTACCATAAACAGGGAATACTGATATGTGTTCATAAGTAAATAAATAAGTTTTTAACATTAGGTGTTACATATAACTTATAAAACCAGATGAGATGCCACATAACAAAGTTGTATATTTTCTATGCTTTTTGCAAGTGCACTTACAGGGATATATGTCTATTATTCATATATTAAACATTAGTATTTATGGAGAGGCATATGTGGATACATATGCCTATATATTCTTGCTTAGACAAATGGCAATATAATGATTAGACATATGTTCCCTAATAAAAATTTCCATTTATCATGTATACTAGTCAAGGAATTACAAACTAGATCATTTAAGTTTTCACTTACAGAATCAACTCCAAATATCTTTTATTGCTTCCACACTAGTAGCATTTTGACTCCTTTAGTAGAGCCTACAACATTCCAGGTCAGGGGAGTTAAAAGGTCAGAGAAAGTTGCCTGGTTCACATAATAGGGAGATTGAACTGATACCTCATTAAGGTTTTTGCGGGCAGGCACAGTGGCTCATGCCTGTAATTAATCCCAGCACTTTGGGAGGCTGAGGTGGGTGGATTGCTTGAGGCCAGGAGTTGAAAACCAGCCTGGCCAACATGATGTAACCCCGTCTCTATTAAAAATACAAAAATCAGCCAGGCAAGGCAGCCCACACCTGTAATCCTAGCTACTCAGGAGGCTGAGACAGAAGAATCACTTGGACCAGGGAGGCAAATGTGGCATGAGCTGAGATGGCACCACTGCTCTCCAGCCTGGGTGCCAGAGTGAGACTCTGTCTCAAAAAGAAAAGCTTTTTACATAACACTTTTCATCCTCTTCCATTTTCTCCCCACTTTCTTTTTTCCTTCTTCCATTGAATTTTCCCTACTCTTTCTTCATAAAGTAAGTTGTTGAAAGATTAACCATTTTACTGCAATTCACTCTGTTTTCTACTTCTATTCTTCTACAAATAGACATCTATGTCAAAACAATGATCAGTTTGAAAATCTCCTTTATTCTGTTTTTAAGCATCTCTTTGTCTAAAATTAAAAACAGAATGTACAATTAGGAATATGTGCTTTGGCTCTTTAAGGCAACTGTTTGCCCCATACTCTGATTTTAGCACTTGTTTGCTCTTATTTGTTTTGGAGATGCCCAGTAAAAAGATATATGTCCAGGAAAATAAGGCTTTGATATCCTGTATATCTAAATGTTGTCTCACAAAGTTAACACAGAAAACTATGGATATTTCTTGATTAGAGTTTGGAACAAAGATGACATGTAATAGACTATTTTGCTGTAATTAAAATGATTTTCTATGTGTAACTTAATGTTCATGTACCTAGTTTTGGTTGTTTCCATTTAGCAGTTGAGGTAGCAATTGCTTTCTTTTGAAAACTTAGACCCTTTCTACTGCTATCATTGACTTTAGGAAAAAGGTAAAACCAAAAGCAAACTAACCTATAATAAATATATTCAGTTGATCTTTCATGTTAAGGTACTTGATGGCTTCCATTTAATATTAGGAATATTTGATTTAAATTCAGAAGTTATTCATTTTTACTGAAGACATAGAAATGCTGGTTTTTTGTTGTTGTTGTTTTTTAAAAAAAGGTTTATTCCTAGGCACCCTGGGCCTATAATTCCAGCACTATGGGAGGTGAAGTGGGGCAGAGAGCTTGAGCCCAGGATTTCCAGACCAGCCTGGGCAACATGATGAAACCCCATCTCTACCAAAACCACAAAAACTTTGCTGAGTGTGGTGGCATGTGCGTGTAGACCCAGGTACTCTGGAGGCCGGGGTGGGAGGATTACTTGAGCCTGGGAGGTGGAGGCTGCAGTGAACCATGATCATGCCACTGCACTCCAGCCTGGGCAACAGACCAAGACCCTGTCTC